TGAAAACGACAGTATCTCCTACCAAGAAGATGATGCTTTGGGGACATTTAGCTCAGCCTGTAATCTCTTCCCATGTACCAACTCCTTGGAGCTTTAGAAGGCAAGGGGAGGGAGTGTGAGCAGAGAGAACCCCAAGACTGAGGAAGCACCACCACCTCTGCGCTCCCATGAGGCCTCAGATAGCAGGGTGTTGGGGAGCTGTCTCTACCTCTCAGAGCAGACCGCACAGTGATGCACTTCCAGGTGGCTTTCTTGAGACCCCAGCCCTGGTTATTTCCAAGGGGTCAGATTATAGAATTCTGTGATTTTTCCCATACAGTGTTTCATCGTTCAAATACTCAGCCAATCGGCCAGTCAACAAACATTGCTTGAGCACCAGCTGTGTGCCAGGCACTGTGGCAACCAAGACAAACACGACATCACAGAGGTCTCTTGGAATGAGGTTAAAAACTGGTCAACTTCTCAGTTCTGCAACTTACTGTGTAACCAGAGGAAGCCATATATTTTATTGTGCCAGCTCCTTTATCTGCCAAATGAGATGACAATAATTGTTTCTACCTCCAATTGGGATAAACACTATGGAAGCAGTTGCTATTGTTATTTTTTTATTACCCTCAAATAACTACAGTCAGGGAGACTGACTTGTAAGCTGGACCATCACAATGCCAGTGATAGAGCTGGGCATGGGGCACCCTGGGAGGCTAGAGGAGGGGCCACTTGCTGGCCTGCTCTTGACAAACATTTATGGAGAGCTGCTCTGTGCCAGGCGCTGTGCTGGCCACTGGGGACACAGAGATGAACAGGACACATTGTCCACTCATTCCTGCCCCTCCCTTCTTCTTCCCAGGGTCCAGTCACAGAAGCCTGCATGAAGGGGACACTGAGGACAGGCTGTGTCGGGGACAGCATGAGCCTAGAGCTTGGGAGTCAGAAGACTTGGGTTCTTGTCTGTCACCAACATTAGTGATCCTGGAAACCCTCAGGCCTCAGTTTCCCCACTCTCTCATCAAGGATTTGAACAAGTGATGAATATCCTCACCTTACAGGGCTTTAAACTTGTCCCAAAGACCAGCTCCAAGGCCTGATGGCCAACTGAGGCAATAGGGGTGAGGATGCCCAGTGCCCACCGGTACCGGCTGGCACTACCCTGCTAATAAGCTGGCACAATTTCACATGAAACAGGGGGGCCTGGATCTAAAGGCGGGTTGTTTGAAGGGGACAAGGGGGAGTATTAGGGGGAAGGCAGAGCCAGCTCCCACAGGCCCTATTCATGACTTTCTCTGGGGAGGGAGAGCGAGCAGGATCATTAAAACCAGCCTTTGTCTAAATCCCTGACCAAGCCAATGCCTCACCTTCAAACTCCTGCAGCCAGCAGGACAGAGCAGACACCCCTTTGGAAAGAAAACACCAATGAAGCAAGCCAAGGCCTGAGTGCTATGAACTAGCTTCTGGGAGCTGGAGATGAGGAGGAATAAAGAAATTGACCATGACCTTGGCTGTGTCCAAAATGGACCCAGATTTAAGGCAGTGGGGAAAGGCCAGTCCTGAGAAGCCAAATAGACTCAAATATCCAATTGCTGGGTGGCTCTGCCACCTACTCACTATTTTGGCCAAGTTATGAGCTCTCTCTGCCTCAGTGTCTTCAGCTGTAAAGTGGGGATAATAATAGTTTTCACCCAGTGGTGTTGCTGTGAGGATTAAATGAAGTAACAGATATATATTCTGGACCCACGTAAATGCTATTTGTATCTTGGTTATATGTTGTACTCCCTTCATTTAAAAAATAAATAAAATCCCAGAAACTAAATTATTTGCATCTATTTGTGTACCCTCTGGACTTCTGTTTCAGAATCCAACATCACAGGATCCCACCTAACACACTACAGCTGTAAGAAATGTTTCTATGTGATTCCCTAGAAGTCTTTCCTAGAAGTTCACCCAAATATCTAACTGCAATCTTTCATCCATAACACACTGCATTTTCCAATCTTTTGCAATCTCTTCCCTAACTTTATACATCATGAAATCCCTCCAAATGTTCCTGAAATGAAGGAAGATGTCAAAACGTCTCTACCCATCTCTTCCCTAGTCCTATAACACTTTCTTTTATCCACACTCTCAATCAAGCTGAGAATATAGCACCTCAAAGCAGTTAAACAGTTCTTCACACCCCTCACCGCACAAACTCGAGCTTGGGGCATTGAGGCTCATATCTAGGCTGTTGGGTACCGTTGAGTCAGAACTGACTCATAACTGACCCTCCAACAAGTTTTCAGAAGCAGTTAATCACACAGGAGACTTACCATCCTTCTCCTGTGGAGCAGATGGTGGATTCCAGCCGCAAGCCTTAGGGATTGCAGCTCAGCTTCTTGCCACTAGGCCATCAAAGCTAGCCAACCATAAGTCTCAGGTCCAGGATCCAGTTCCTCCCTGCTTGGGCTAAGAAAAAGCCTAGATCTTGGGGTGAAAGTTAAAATGCCCTAGAGATATTCAGTGATCTGACCCCTCCCCTAAATTCTGTTTTATTCCCCAAGATGTCACAAAGCTGTCTTCCTAATTATACCTCCCTAGGGAGCTCTGGTGGCTTAGTGGCAAGAAGCTGCGCTGCAATCCCGAAGGCACACAGTTCGGGAGAAGGATGGGCAACCTCCTCCTTCTATGTGATTAACTGCATCTGAAAACCCCCTGGAGGGTCAGCTGTGGGTCAGATCTGACTTGATGGTACACAACAACAAGAGGGAGCCCTGGTGTTGAAGTCCACAGAGAGTTACACTCTAACTCAGCCTTGCTTCTCTGGTGGTTCGAATCCACCAACTGCTCCATGACAGAAAGATGAGCAGGCTCCTCCCATGCAATTTTACATTTGCCTTGTAAACTTGAGAGAGGGTTAGTATGAGTCAGAGCTGACAGCAGTGAAAGAGAAACAGTATTGACTTGATGGTGACAGGTTTTCTTTTGATTCCAAAGGCCCATCATGCACCCTATCCTCAGGACACCTGGCTTCTATCCTTTGTAAGCCCAGATCCTCTGCAAAATAGGATAACAACACTGACTCTGCCCACTCACATTGGTTTTGGAGTTTTTATACTCATCACTCCCAAGAAGAAAGAGGGGCTGGAATGCTGGGGCTTAGAACTTCTTCCAGCTACTTTGGGGTGGGCTTGGCCACCTGTGGGCAAGTGGAGGGAGAGGTTTGGGCTAGGAGCCTTTGGGTTGCATTTGGAGGTGAAATGACTGGTTATGTAATCGAACTTCAACTTGCATGCCAATGAGCACATCTCAGTGAAGGCTGGCCACTTTTTGGGAATGGAGCTGTTGCCCTGGCAGAGAACAGGAACACATGATATCAAATGCCATCCACCCTCTACTACTGGGCCACATAATTACCAGAGTCTGGAAGGCAAAGGTTTATCCAAATTCTGACAGGTAAGATGTGCGCCCTGCACAACACATGAGGTGGGTACCACTGAGCAGTTTCGTACTAACCACTGCAGTTTCCAGGGCCAGCTGTGAGAGGCCATTCAGCAAGTTATAACTATCACTTTGTATCTGAGAGCCTCCATGCCTCAAGGCAGACTGTGTGATCTTGCTCTGCTGCGTGTGAAAAGAGAAGAAACTGAAAACAATGACACACATCATAGTCCAATTTTCAAAATCCACAAAAACCGAGGAAGAGACATTTGGAATTTTCACATGGTTATAGCGAGTTAAGTAAAAGATTAATAAGTTTGACCCATATTTTCTTTTCGCTAATTTTATGGTGTATGTAGTTATCTAAAAGTGGGTGTCAGATGTTTAGATCCAGATGCAATTTCAGCGCTTGCCACAGGAGCTGTTTTCCTCTAGGGGAGGGTATGGGGTGGAGATGAAGTATGTGTTGGAGTGGGGGGGAATCCAAGGGACTCATGTTTAATGACCTCCACCTCCACCCCCTGTCCATCCTGAATTTCAAGTTTGTAATTAGGAAACACACTTTGGCTGAAGAGGGGGGTGGCAGGGAAAGAGAAGCAGATGAAGGAAGAACAGAGCACACAGCCACTTCAGAGAACCCGACCAGGTTCTGAAAGGATTTACAGAACCCCAAACCCCAGCACCAACACTGGGGGTAGGGCTAGGCAATTGACCCCTAAATTCTTCAGTTCTGTCAAAATAAGGAAGAGGTCTCAGCCCAGACCTTAACCTCAACTTAACCTGGATCCCAGGGAACTTCTTTTCCAAGTTCAGGAAACTTCTGCTCGGACAGTGTTCAGCCCTGCAACTTGGGTGGAGGAGTGTGTGTTGAGTCCCCGAAAGACTGAGCTGTCAGCCTCAGTGGCAAGGGCAAGAGGGGTGGCTTCACGGAGGCCGGAGGCCGAGAGGCCCCAGGAGGCCCCTACAGCCCCTCCCCAGCCTCAGCAGCTGGCAGATGAAAGATCCAAGCAAAGCATCCCAGCGCTGAGTAATGCCCCTGGCACCCCGCGCCCAGACCTACCCACGGCCAGCTGGAGAGGGCAGCAGCCTCAGCCTGGCTAGTCAGTGTCCGAGGCCATGTTTCTCTTCCCCAGGAAGACCAGGGGAGACCGTCGCGAGGTCCAGAACAGTGGGGACTAGCGTGGCTCAGGGAAAGGGGGTCAGGCCACGGTGGCCAAGGAGGACGTCCCGCTCCGGGAACCCCCTCCCCCACCCCTTCTCCCTCCAGCTGTGCTGGGGCCTCACCAACGGAAAACGAAAACTCCGGCAGAGGAAACAGCGGCAGTCGCCCCGCCTGGGAAACCCGGACAAAAGGCGCGGGCCTGCCGCTCGTGCTGCTCGACCCCCGGGCGCCTGGCACTGCCGCTCTGGTCAGTACCCTGGCCTGGCAGCCCGGGCTTCCCCCTCCTCAGCGCCGCCTCGCCGCCAGCCGAGGTACCCCTGGCGGTGCCCGCGGTGTCCGCTCCGCGCAGGGGCGCTGCGACCCTCGCCAGGCTGCCCACCCCCTCGGCGGTGCCAGGCCCGCCCCCTCTCTGGCCCAGCGCCCTCACCTGCGGGGGCCGGGGCTCCGGGCGGGGCGGGATCCCGACCAGGCAGAAGGCGACTCCATTCATCTGGCAGCGGCGGCGGCTCTGGGCCGGGGCACGGCTGGGGGCGCCAGGAGGGACCCGGGAGGGGCGGGGGCGGGGCCGAGCGGGGGTGGCCCCCCCGGGGATCCACCCTTCGCCCCGCCCGCCGCGCCGCCCGACGGGGCGCACCAGCCTCTGTCCTGGACCGCAGGCTGCGTAGGAGACTGGAGCTAGGGGTTCAAACAGAGTGTGGAGAAGAGGGTGGGAGTCTCAGGGAGACAGCTTTTGCCGACCCCCAGAGAACCGGCGTAGATAAACCAGGATCCAAGGAAAGGGAACAAGGCCATCGTTCTCAGAACTAGAACTGAGAGAGGGAGTCAGAGAGCAAGCAGGGAGCAGAAAGAGCGATAGAAACCCCAGAGACACGGAGCATGAGAGAGGCACAGACGAGATGGAGGCAACAGAGAGAGGCAGAAGTCAAGATGAGGAGAACCAGGACAGAAAGGGGTGGGGAAAAGAAGAAGAAAAAAAAATAAAAGCTTAGGTGGCTTTCCATTCCAATGCTCAGGAAGTTGAGACCCAAGTACAGAGGTGGGTGATGCCTGCACAGAGACACGACGGAGAGATAGTGCCTCTTGGGGCTCCGCCCCTCAACCTGGGGAAAGCCCCCCTCAGGCAGGGCCTCAGCCTGCAGCGCGCAATTAAGTTCGACTCCAAAAACGACTGGAACAGCACATCAACAGAGAACTACCAGAAGTCCAGGCTGGGTTTAGAAGGGGTCGTGGTACTAGAGATATTGTAGCTGATGTTAGATGGATCTTGGCTGAAAGCAGGGAATACCAGAGGAATGTCTATCTGTGTTTCATTGACTATGCAAAGGCATTTGACTGTGTAGATCATAACAAACTATGGCTGACTCTGAGAAGAATGGGAATCCCAGAACACTTGATCGTTCTAATGCGAAACTTATACTTGGACCAGGAGGCAGTCGTCAGAACAGAGCAAGGGAACACTGCATGGTTCAAAATTGGGAAGGGCATACGCCAGGGATGCATCCTATCTCCATACCTTTTCAACCTATATGCAGAACAGATTATCCGGGAGGCTGGGCTCTATGAGGAGAAATGTGGGGTCAAGATTGGCGGACGATTTATCAACAATCTGCATTATGTGGATGACATAACCCTGCTTACTGAAACTGAAGAGGACCTGAAGCGCCTGCTGCAGAGGGTCAAGGACTGCAGCCTACAATATGGATTAAGGCTCAATGTCAAGAAGACAAAGATTCTCACCACTGGACCAACTGGCAGCATAAGGATGGATGGTGAAGAGATTGAGATTGTTCACAGCTTTAGTTTGCTTGGCTCCATAGTCAACAGTCTTGGCACCAGCAGCCAGGAAATTAAAAGGCACATTGCCATGGGAAAGTCTGCTGTTAGGGACCTCTCCAAAGTACTGAAGAGCAATGGTGTCTCTCTGGAGACTAAGGTGCATCTGATACAGGCCATGGTCTTCGCAATCACTTGTTATGCATCAGAGAGTTGGACAATGACCAAGGAGGATAGAAGGAGAATTAATGCCTTTGAGCTGTGGTGCTGGAGAAGAGTATTGAGAATACCATGGACTGCTAGGAAAACAAACAGATTTGTCCTGGAAAGGGTTAATCCGGGTGGCTCCTTGGAGGCAAGGATTCTGAGGCTCCGTCTAACTTACTTTGGACATGTTGTGAGGAGGGACCGGTCCTTGGAGAGGGATATCATGCTTGGGAGGGTGGAGGGCCGGCGCAGGAGAGGAAGGCCCTCTATGAGGTGGATTGATTCAGTGACTGGGATAATTGGGATGGGAGTGTCAGAGACAGTGCGTTTGGCACAGGACAGAGTGGAGTTCAGGGCTGTTGTACATAGGGTTGCTATGAGTCGCAAGCAACTCGACGGCACATAACAACAACAACACATAGCGACCCTGTGAACAACGGATCTGAAGCCTGGTTTATCCTGCGCAATCCTTATTATTTCTGACACACTTGAGCTAATTGCCTCAGTCACTCTTTCAATCCTCTATCAGGTAGTAGAGGGTCAGCACAAAGCATGATGTCCTTTTCCAAGGAATAGCCTCTCCCCAAAACAAGCCCAAAGTATGTGAGATGAAGCTTCACCATCCTTGCCTCTAAGGAGCACTTTAGTTGCACTTTCTGCAAGACATGCATGTCTGTTCTTCTGACAGTCCACAGGATATTCTGTGCTCTTCTCCAAAACCACAACTCAGAGGCATCTATTCTCCTGTCATCCTTATTCATTGTCCAGCTCTCTGATGCACAGCAGTCTAGGTCCCCACAAAGGCAGAGGGATAAAGGCTAGAGGAGAGAGGCTGGGGCAGTGCTTGGGTCCTTCGGACAATGCACTCTGCCTGTCCAAAAGTTCAGGCCTCTGGATCCGCCCAACACCCTCCTCTATGGTGGGCAGCAGGGAGGACAAAGAGACCTCCCAGACATAAGTTTTTCACAGCCATCCTTCCGAGCTGCACTCTAAGGTGAGCCCAGAGAGCAAAAGGAGCCCATTTCCCTTCTTCCAAGCAGAAACCTCCTCTATGGAGTCCCTCGGTCCTTCACAGCTACTAGGAAGTCCTCCCTGTTTCTCTAATCCCCATCCTTACTATTGCCTGCTTTTAGTTCTTCCTCAATAAAGAAGCAGGATATACAGGGTTCCTGCACTCCTTAAGCAAGGGCGCTCAAGTGGCCTAGTGGGTAAGGAGCTGCACTGCCAGGCCAGAGGCCTGTGGTTTGAATTTACCAGCTGCTTGAAGGGATAAAGATGGACAGTAACCTCTCACAAAATTTACTGCTTCTGAAAACCCACTGAAGTGTCATCTATAAGTCCATTTCACACAACTCAAATGCAATGAGCTGCACGGTATTCCTTGAGGGGGCGCTTTGATGGCATTATGTGCTGGGTTGCTAACAACAGGCTTGGAGGAGTCACACTTTGTAGGAAAAAGATGAGCAATCTGCTCCCATTAAGATATACAGCCTTGGAAACCCACTGATGGGTCTCTGTAAGTTAGAGTAGACTCTATTCCAGTGGATTTTGGTGTGGGTGGGTTTTTTTTTTTTTGGTGTTTATTGTTATTGTTGCTATGACCCATAGCAGGCCATGAACAACAGATCTGAACCTTGCCCTGTCGTGCACTATCCTCACAATCCCTGCCATTCTCAAGCCCACTGTGTGGTCACTGTGCCAATCCCTTGTTACAGGTCTTACTCTTTCTCTCTGCTGCTCCACCTTTCCCAGCATAATGTCTCTCTCCAAGAATTTTGGTTCTTACTGCGAATATATATCTCCATATCTTTTCAATCCATATGCAGAACAGATTCTCCAGGAGGCTGGGCTCTGTGAGAAGTGTGGCATTGGGATTGATTGGAGGTAGATTTATCAACAATCTGCATTATGCAGATGATACAACCCTGCTTGCTGAAACTGAGGAGGACTTGAAGCACTTGCTGCAAAAGGTCACGAACTGCAGCCTTCAAATGGATTGAAGCTCAACATCAAGAAAACAAAGATTCTCACCACTGGGCCAATTGGCAGCACCATGATAGATGGAAAAGAGATTGAGATTGTTGATAGCTTTCGTTTGCTTGGCTCTACAATCAACACTCTTGGTACCAGCAGCCAGGAAATTAAAAGAAGAATTACATTAGGAAAGTCTGCCGTCAGAGACCTCTCCAAGGTACTGAGGAGCAACATTGTCAGTCTGGAGACTAAGGTGCTCCTGATACAGGCCATGGTCTTTGCCATTACTTGCTATGCTTCAGAGAATTGGGCAATGACTTGGGATGATAGAGAGTTGATGCCTTTGAGCTTTGGTGCTGGAGAAGAGTGCTGAATGTACCACGGACTGCTAGGAGAACAAACAAGTTTGTCCTGGAGAGGGTGAAGCTGGGCTGCTCTTTTCAGGCAAGGATTCTGAAGCTTCGTCTAACATATTTTGGACATGTTGCAAGGTGGAACCAGTCCTTGGAGAGGGAAGTCATGCTTGGGAGCCTGGAGGGATAGCACAGGAGAGGAAGACCCTCGATGAGATGGATTGATTCCATCACTGGGGTAATGGGACTAGGTGAGTTGAGTAGGTGAGACTGGCAAGGGATGGAGCAGGGTTTAGGACTGTTGTACACAGGGTCGCTATGAGTCACAAGTGACTTGATGGTACACAACAACAAAACAACAACTGAAAATATGCTCAAAGTAAGTGAGAAAAAATTTCACCATCCTTGTCTCTAAGGAGCACTCTGGTTGAACTTCCTTTAAGATAGATTGTTTGTTCTTTTGTCAATCCATAGGATATTCCATATTCTTCACCAACACCACAATTCAAAGACATCAATTCTTTATTGATTATGTAAAGTTATTTGTGTGGATTATAACAAATTACGGCTTCAATTGATAAGAATGAGAATCCCAGAACACTTAATTGTGCTCATGCGAAACCTCTCCATAGACCGAGAAGCAACTGTCAGAACAAAACAAGGGAATACTTGTTGTAGCTGTTGTAATGTGCTCTCAAGTCAACTATGACTCATAGAGACCCAATGCACAATAGCTCTGAACGCTGCCCTGTCCTGAACCAATCTCACTGTCTCCAACACACCTATCCCATTACCCCAGTTACTGTGTCAATCCACCTCATCCAGGGTCTTTCTCTCCTGCCCTGTCCCCCCACCCTTGCAAGCATGATGGTCTTCTCCAAGGACTGGTCTCTCGTGGAAAAAGGCCCAAAACATGTGAGATGGAACCTCAAAATCCTAGACTCCAAGGAGAAACTTGGTCTCATCCTCTCCAAGACAGACCTATTTGTTTTCTTGGTGGTCCATGCTATGGTTCAAGACTCTCCTTCAGCCCCACAACTCAAAAGCATTGATTTTTCTAGCATCCTTAGTCACTGTGCAGCTCCCTGGTGCACAGCAAAAAACTGCCAAGAACATGGTCTGAATCAGGCGCGCCTTAGTCTCTAGTCTGACGTTGTTCTTCAGCACTCTGGAGAAGTCTCTG